AGTGCTATTAACGCAGATTTGCCTTAAAGACGAGAAAATCGTCAGTCTTCGGTTACCGTTGATACCCTAGTCCGTCTACTCTGGGGTTAACGACAAATTTAAATGAGTACCACAGTGACCGAGGGGAATAAACTTCGCCATAATAAACTATATCGATGCGATTCATTGATTTTTTGACGAAAGGATCCGTTTAACCTCCATCGCCACTGAATACAGGAGTAAAACCTGTTGAGGTAAAGTGCAAGCCTAATTTAATGCTTTATCATTGATCTTTTGCCAATCTTCATTCTTGTGAGAAATAATAAGCAGGATATGCAAGGTCTGTAACAGAAGTTGCCGTGAGAAGCCTGCAAATCAAACATATATACTGCAGAAGTTTGTAGCCGCTTATATCATAAAAGAAGTTTGAAGTTTACTTATCGCACATCAATCTCTGAATGACCTTGTAAGCTGAACTGGACCAATATTTCGGCAAGAACTAATTTCGTAAGAGTTTCAAAATTTGGAAATTAAATCACCTCACTTATGACGTCACCAAAGAGCATAAATTTAAAATTCTGCCAAAATTTTAAACGACCATAAATAGTCAACCATATTATGAATATGCGAGTTCGTGTAAATTACATCAGATGGTATGGATTGGCCGCAATTAACACAATAAGAGAATAATCCAAACGAACGCACTTGAAAATAATTAATAAGAGGTGCCGCAATTAGTGAAATCCTAGTTGAGGCTGCATGACACCTTCAAGAGATTTAGCAAGACAAAGGAAGATCAGAAATCATTACCAAGGAAACCATATCGTATTATAATCGCTATTTTCGTTTCTTGCAAGTCTGATCCTGATTCTTTCAGAGTCTCTCTGTCTGGTGCTCTTCAGCCTCTTTTTAACAGAAAGGCATGATCACGTGAAAAAAAATAATTACTCAAATCGCAGCCTCGTGAGCCAGTGCTTAATCACGAATCCTAGAAACAGCAGAGTCACGTAAAAAAAGTTTCACTTTCTCAAAACATGTCAAACTTTTGCGCCTCCGTTCCTTCCAGGGCAGCAGGTTCACGAGGTGCTTTGCGTGGTCGCAGTCCTTCTCCAGTTAGGCAAACTTCGCGGGAGGAGAAAATGCTGTGAGTTGAATATAATGAGGCTTGAAAAATTTAGCTCCGTTCAGTAACGCAGCTTTGCAAGAAAGTCTGTCATTTGAGTTCATGCACGTCCTAATCACGCTCTCAAATTACCGTTATTGCGAACCCTGATTTGAAGAAATTGTCACCATACGGATCGTATTACCTCGGAATACGATGTTCTGAAATCTGCTCACCTTCGTTAGGCCTACAGTGGTTCGAAAGCAATATAAGTGTGCGATCTACACTTTCATGTGGTCGAATTTTCCTCCTCCAGAAAAGTTCCATGTTCTTCTCCTCACCATCATTCATAGCCACGGAATGACATTGCCATATTAATGTCGTATTGTTTCGTATCACGTTTCATTAAAACAGTCGATTTTATTCTTCGTCATTTTTCAGTTCCCTTCGCAACTTTCTCTACCGAAAAACCTGTTTTTATAGTATTTCTCTAATCATAAGACACCAGAGCCAGTTCAGATATTTTATCGGCTTAAACTGATCCAAATACAAGTTAATTTTTGTCCGTCAATATCGATTACCTCTTATCCTTTCAACTCGTGGAAGCAGACGCTTCAGACAGTGTCTCCAACTTCTCTTACCCTGTGCCAACGTTTGAGCTTCGACAAGAAATAGCCCGAATCTGAAGTGGAGTCCTTCCTAGACCGTCCCCGGGGTCTTTGACTGGACGGTTTGGTCTGCAGGCGATTCCAGCACGTGCGCAAACTATGGCAGCTGTGACTTCTCAATCTGGAGAAGCAGAGGCTGTACACCAAGGCTCCTCCGGATGTCAATATTCCATACCATATGGAGACGCGCCTCAGAAAGTCCAATTCAGCAGCTTGTACCCAAGTTCGGAGCTTTGCAGTCATGATCCACGACTCATGACCGAGGGTAAGTATGGCGATAAAGATAGACTTGAACACCGAGAGCTTAATCTTCACACTCAGCTCCGCTTTAGTCACAATGGGTCGGGCCAGTTGACGCAGAACTCCACCCACTACTTCGATCCGCCTATCGTTCACCTCAAATCTTCCATCACCAGTAAACACGACCCCGAGTACTTGAACATCTCCTCCTGCTGCAGCAACATATCAACAGAACGACATACAGGTGTACTGATTCACCAGTTGTATGGACAAAGAAAGTCGAAAGACTACTGTACGGCCGACGTGTCCATCATCAGAGAAAACAGTGATTTTCATGATTCCTGATGAGTTACGTTTAAGACTTTCCCTATATGCAGTATCACTGAAACAGAAGGCCGTACTTTCCCGCTGCATGAACTAGAGCATCATAACTGGAAATAGTTGGTACCCCTTCACCAAGCTCCGAAGTTCGAAGATTTTTGATCTCGAAGATGGGCGCGGCTCTGTTTTGGTTTCTGTTTTGGAACTGATTGGACCATAACGGCTAGCTCAGAGATGGAAATATTGATGAACCTCCATTTGTTATCAGTGCAACACGAGAGGGAAACTATTCCAGAGGTGAACCGCATATCGGAAGA